GGGGTTCGTAAGTTTACTGGGGGTTCGTACGTTTACTGGGGTGTTCGTACGTTTACTGGGGTGTTCGTACGTTTACTGGGGGTTCGTACGTTTACTGGGGGTTCGTACGTTTACTGGGTGGTTCGTACGTTTAATGGGGGTTCGTACGTTTACTGGGGTGGGGGTTCGTACGTTTACTGGGGGTTCGTACGTTTACTGGAGGTTCGTACGTTTACTGGTATTCGTACGTTTACTGGAGGTTCGTACGTTTACTGAGGTTAGTACATTTACTGGGGGGTTCGTACGTTTACTGAGGGTTCGTACGTTTACTGGGGGTTCGTACGTTTACTGGTGTTCGTACGTGTCCTGGGGATCAAGAGAACATACTACTGGTACAGTGGTTAGCACCGTCGCTTTACCAGTTACGCGACCATGGTTAGAATGCTGGGCAGGGTGGAATGAGTGGGTACCATTCCTTCACTTTTCACCCTCCTGTGTGTGCTTTTACCCTACCGCACCTCCAGCACCTCCAAAGGATACCTGATCAACCAGGCTGTGACTCGTACGTCAGGCTGCGAGCAGCCGCGTCCAACAGCCTGGTTGATCAGTCCGGCAACCAGGAGGCCTGGTCGACGACCGGGCCGCGGGGACGCTAAGCCCCGGAAGCACCTCAAGGTAACCGCATTCCGTCATAATATTGCTGAACCTCTTTGAGTCACACTCATCCTGCTGGAATTTAGAATATACAAACCTCTGTAATGAGATCGATATCAGGTTGGGATGGAAATAAAAATAGTGCTTGAATTATGAGGACTAGGCTACGAGTTCCTTTCCCTCCGTCCTAATTGACTCTCCTACTAGTTCTTATCATGCCCGGGTGTTGAAGTGTTGCTGGAGACACTTGCCTCCAGCTCCAGATGGTGCATAAGTATGACTGGAGAGACCTTCCTCTGGCGGGAGTTACAGCGTGACTGGAGGTTGAGAGGTCGGGGTAATGGCGGGGTGCGGGAGCGCCGTCAGTGCTGTGGGTGGGTGTGTCTGGCCTCACAGACCCCTCCCATGGGAGTGGGTGGGTGTGTCTGGCCTCACAGACCCCTCCCATGGGAGTGGGTGGGTGTGTCTGGCCTCACAGACCCTCCCATGGGAGTTGGTGGGTGTGTCTGGCCTCACAGACCCTCCCATGGGAGTGGGTGGGTGTGTCTGGCCTCACAGACCCTCCCATGGGAGTGGGTGGGTGTGTCTGGCCTCACAGACCCCTCCCATGGGTGTGGGTGGATGTGTCTGGCCTCACAGACCCTCCCATGGGAGTGGGTGGGTGTGTCTGGCCTCACCGCTGTGGGCTCTGTGGCTTTCTCCGCTGTGGGAGCATGTCTACTGCCCCCTCACTGACAAATTAAGCCACAACTGCATCAGGTTAGAGCCACACATCGTACAACCTGTGTACCCGCTGACAGCTGGAGCAAGGGGCCGTATTTCCGGGAGAGGCAGATACACACACACACACACACATCTTGCCAGCTCGCGAGTCGGCTGTCAAGATGTACTATGGGTGATTACGCGGTTCCCGGAGAACAATAAGAACGCAACTTTCCACACATTAACTCGAGTGGAGATATACCCACGACATGGGGTTATAATGTGAACGCTGGCTAACCTCTGTTCCACTCAGATAGATAGCGATCTGTACACCTGTCAGAACCTTCTGTAGTAAGGGTTCGTGTTGCTTCTGATAACCCAGAATGCAAGCAGTGACCTCGATAATCAAAACGCATTGTTAACATGACCTGTTGCACAAGAATGTGCTTCAAGCCGCTCAAGTGGCGATAAATCTCATGATCTACATCTGGCAACGACGCGACCGATGACGTCACATATCGGACAGTTACGACGCCTTATCATTTTTTTTTTAAATTCTAATCTCGTTTCCCCTGATGACTTGAGACTGCTACCCACTACGCCTGCTTGTCGCCTGCTTCATCTGCTCTGGTTACGTTATATTTATTTGTAAGAACCTTATTGTAAGACCATTTAGTTGTAAGAACCTTATTGTAAGACCATTTAGTTGTAAGAACCTTATTGTAAGACCATTTAGTTGTAAGAACCTTATTGTAAGACCATTTAGTTGTAAGAACCTTATTGTAAGACCATTTAGTTGTAAGAAAAATTAAATTTTTGGGATAAACAGATGTAAGACTAATATGCTTTTTTTCCGTTTTTTTTATTAAAGACTTCGTTTCTGGTTAGGCAAAGCAGTTGTATTCTTAACAAATCAACAGAACGGGGTGGGTCCACACAGGCTCGATCCTTGGACTCTAGTTTTCTTCATCTTAGTGAATGACTCCTGATCTTTGTGATTGACTCCTGATCTCAGTGAATGACTTCTGATCTCTGCGAATCACGTAAGATCTTATATACCGAGGGTACACTAGAATACGTAGCACCGGTATATTATACGGAAAGCACAAACTAAACTTGAAAAAGTTCAGTTTTTAAGTTAATAATAGTTAAAGTTAATAAAAATTATACTCACCTAGTTGTGCTTGCGGGGGTTGAGCTTCGGCTCTTTGGTCCCGCCTCTCAGCTGTCAATCAACTGGTGTACAGATTCTGGAACCTATTAGGTTCAATCCAATCTACACTTGAAACTGTGTATTTAGTCAGCCTCCACCACATCACTTCTTAATGCATTCCACCTATTAACTACTCTGACACTGAAAAAATTCTTTCTAATGTTTATGTGGCTCATTTGGGTACTCAGTTTCCACCTGTGTCCCCTAGTTCGTGTTACACCCATGCTAAATAGTTTGTGTGTCCTCCCTATCAATTCCACGAGAATTTTGTAGGTGGTAATCATGTCTCCTCTACTTCCGTTTTCCAGGGACGTGAGCTTTAGTTCCCGTAACCTTTCCTCGTAACTCATACCTCTCAATTCTATGATGGAAATAAAAATAGTGCTTGATTTATGAGGACTAGACTACGAGCCTTGTCCTCATAAATTGCCTCTCCTACTAGCTCTTATCATGCCCTCATGTCTCATTCATGTGCTATAAAGCTATACCGTGTTATTATTACTATCACTAATATTATTGCTAAACAGTATGTTGTTCTTGCTTGTAGTGCCATTGCTGTTACTTTCACAAGGCACATTAAAAGTTAATGTCTTTGTATTTAGCTGAAATCTCCTTCTCATTTAAGATAATCTTTATACAAAAAGCCTAACCCAAGCTACCTGTCATCCTCATGCGTCCTGTCGTTCTTAGGTATTGTGTAAGAGGCTTGTCAGAGGATGGCCTGTGACGCTGCCTTCTGGCCTACCTCTCTCTATCCAGTATTACAGGACGTCTTCCTTGACCAATATCAAGCTCAACACAAAACAACTTGTTCCTCAAAAGGTAAATTTGCTAAAAAAAAAAAAAAAATATATATATATATATAGATTTAACGAATCTACTAATGTTTTTTCTCTAATATTGTTAATGTATCTACTTAATATTTAGTTTGTTTTTGTCAAGGCTCAAGCTATATGACTGAATTGTCTAGTATTTTATTTATTTATTAATATTTCTTTATTAAGCTTTGGCCAATGGCTGACTCACACCTGTCTAGAAAATCATAAAATCCAGTTTACCTGTTTTAGGACCAGCGTTGCACGCACATAGCCCCCCCCCCAAAAAAAAAATGGCTTGAACTGTATTTGACGTTAAGAGACAGATAGGCTGAGTGTTGGCCAGATGGTGGTATTATTTCTTTTTTGTTTTGTTTTTTTAGGTCAAAGGGGGAAAGTTGTAGTTGCCGTTCGGAATTCTGGGTAATGTGATTTTAACAGCAAAATCTGATATCAGTAATGTTAGGTAAGGGGTCAGGGGAGGAGCAGGCTCGTGGAAAAGTCTTGTTATCATGCACTAAATTCATGTGTAGACGGGCCTGGGATCTGTTGCTTCCTTAAGGAGTATATCATAATTACCTTCGGTTTCTTAGGAGTCCTATTATCAATAATGGCGAAATTTGTGTTATTTCCAAAATTTCTGATGATTTTTTTTTAAATAATTGAGAAATGAGATGACAGATATACCGTCTTGCATTTTTACAGGCGTATTTCAAGATTTAATTTACCTGAATTGATTACCGAGTACAGTAACTAAATATAAATATCAACCAAGACTTGCAGTGGGGAAATTCAATTGTATGCTCTTGCATACATATGTATCTTGCATATCATGTATGTATGCTCCTACATATACATATGTATGCACAATTGCATGTACACTGTACATGTTTTTTTCTGCATTATTATTATTATTAGCGTCTTTAAAATGTATTACTATTAATGTCTTAAAAGTGTAGGCTGCGGACAATCAATGCTAACAGTCAACTTTCGCCTACCTTTAGTTTAAATTTCCTTGATCATTGTAATTATGTTATAATGACTGAGCAACACTCCAACCTGATAATATAAACGCTCGTAAATCTAACACTCTACTGTGTGTAATATAACTACACCACAAGCTACGCTCCTCCAGTATAATTTTCATGGCTGACACCGATTCTGACTGGGTCGGCATCTGTGTCTCCATCCTGTCTTTTCTCGTAGATAAACAGTTCCTTCTTCAAAGTTTCTCGCTAAGATGAGCTCATCGAGGCAAACTGTCGCCATCTGCAGATAGAAAGAGACTTGACTGTCAATATCTTAGGATATATACTAGAAGAACAATGGAATAATTATGGATCAGCCCTGGGTATGGTCTCTCTCTCTCTCTGGAGTCGACAAAAGGTATTTCCCCACGTGTCGGTGAAAGCAAAGTTCAAATTTGGCCGATGTATATTTTCGCGTTTGGAAATATTTCATTTGGAAATCTTGATGATTGTCTCTGTTACTTTGACTTTATTCCCAGTTGAGGAGTGTAGATGTACGAGGGGAAGTGGATGAGGTTTGATAAGAAAGAGAGGGGTGATACAAGTATGCCGGTGAGAGGGTACTTGAGGTGGGGGGGGAAACGAGCCAGCGAGCAGCCCCCACACAGCTCGCCAACTCAGTCTGCTGGCGAACACAGGCGGGTGTGGACCTGTGCGTCTCTCCTACACGCTCCCCCGCCCATTTCTCTCCCAATTGCTATGGATTGTATGGATTGATGACCGTAGCGGTAATCGTAGTGTGATATATAAGAGGTGAAGTGTGACGAGACCCGTTTTAAGCGTGTAGTTTCACTCCTGTCTGTCTATTTATTCCAATTTTACCCGCCCCACGGCTCTGAGGCAAGATGGCGGACATTGACGTGAACGATCCTGAACTCAAGTACTTGGTGGTATCGCGGGATACCTTCGAGGATCCTGCCTCCCAGGCCGAGTGGACACAGAAGAGGCTGGTGTGGATCCCCCACGGAGACCATGGCTTCGTGGCTGCAGGCATCAAGGGAGAAGTGGGTGACGAAGTGGAGGTGGAGATCGCGGACACGGGCAAGCGTGTCCGCGTAGCCAAGGATGATATCCAGAAGATGAACCCTCCCAAGTTCAACAAGGTGGAGGACATGGCCGAACTCACCTGCCTCAACGAAGCTTCTGTCCTACACAACCTCAAGGAGCGCTACTACTCCGGTTTGATTTACGTAAGTAGCCGAGTTTTGAGATTTAATTCTTCTAAGGTTTGTTAGTGGTGGCCGGCAACACCCCCCCTACCTACCCCTGGTGCCCACAGTAACGTGCCCCCGGGCATGCCCTGCCCTGTGCTCTATGCTCTCTTGCCCCACGGATGGTCCTAAGACACCTGGCAATAGGGTTGCCATGGGTTGAAGATGCTTGAGGAACTCTTATAAACAATTCGTAGCATCTTGGGAGGCGTCATCACTGTCGAGTAGGTCATTGCTCGCCATCAGATTAAATCATCACCTAACTGGATGGGATCATCGTGGAAAGTTGATCAATGTTCTAATATTTATATAGCTCGATGTTGATAAACACTCGTTAATTTAACAGCCTCGACTGCTCGTGGTTAGTTTAAATTGTGCGATGGTGCTTGGATTTACGTCATAGCGTGATATTAAAGATTTCCAGTATCTTGCCCCCCTCTTTCTGTCTCAAACTGAGTGAACGTTTGTGTGTAGATGGGTGTCAGTCTGTACTAACCTAGTTGTGATTGCGGGGGTTAAGCTCTGGCTCTTTGGCACCGCCTCTCTACTGTCATTCAACTGGTGTACAGATTCTTGAGCCTGCTGGGCTCCATCTTATCTACATTTGAAATTGTGTATGGAGTCAGTCTCCACCACATCACTGCCTAATGCATTCCATCTTTGTCGCTGGCTGTGTGAATGACTGACTGACTGGCTGTGTGAATGACTGACTGACTGGCTGTGTGAATGACTGACTGACTGGCTGTGTGAATGACTGACTGACTGGCTGTGTGAATGACTGACTGACTGGCTGTGTGAATGACTGACTGACTGGCTGTGTGAATGACTGGCTGACTGACTGGCTGTGTGAATGACTGGCTGACTGACTGGCTGTGTGAATGACTGGCTGACTGACTGGCTGTGTGAATGACTGGCTGACTGACTGGCTGTGTGAATGACTGGCTGACTGACTGGCTGTGTGAATGACTGGCTGACTGACTGGCTGTGTGAATGACTGGCTGACTGACTGGCTGTGTGAATGACTGGCTGACTGACTGGCTGTGTGAATGACTGGCTGACTGACTGGCTGTGTGAATGACTGGCTGACTGACTGGCTGTGTGAATGACTGGCTGACTGACTGGCTGTGTGAATGACTGGCTGACTGACTGGCTGTGTGAATGACTGACTGACTGACTGGCTGTGTGAATGACTGACTGACTGACTGGCTGTGTGAATGACTGACTGACTGACTGGCTGTGTGAATGACTGACTGACTGACTGGCTGTGTGAATGACTGACTGACTGACTGGCTGTGTGAATGACTGGCTGTGTGAATGACTGACTGACTGACTGGCTGTGTGAATGACTGACTGGCTGTGTGAATGGCTGACTGGCTGTGTGAATGGCTGACTGGCTGTGTGAATGGCTGACTGGCTGTGTGAATGGCTGACTGACTGACTGGCTGTGTGAATGGCTGACTGACTGACTGGCTGTGTGAATGGCTGGCTGACTGACTGGCTGTGTGAATGGCTGGCTGTGTGAATGGCTGACTGACTGGCTGGCTGTGTGAATGGCTGACTGACTGGTTGGCTGTGTGAATGGCTGACTGACTGGCTGGCTGTGTGAATGGCTGACTGACTGGCTGGCTGTGTGAATGGCTGACTGACTGGCTGGCTGACTGGCTGGCTGTGTGAATGGCTGACTGACTGGCTGGCTGTGTGAATGGATGGCTGTGTGAATGGCTGGCTGACTGGCTGGCTGTGTGAATGGCTGGCTGGCTGGCTGACTGGCTGGCTGTGTGAATGGATGGCTGACTGGCTGGCTGTGTGAATGGATGGCTGACTGGCTGGCTGTGTGAATGGCTGGCTGACTGGCTGGCTGTGTGAATGGCTGGCTGGCTGTGTGAATGACTGGCTGGCTGTGTAAATGGCTGGCTGGCTGTGTGAATGGCTGGCTGTGTGGCTGGCTGGCTGGCTGTGTGGCTGGCTGGCTGGCTGTGTGAATGGCTGGCTGGCTGTGTGAATGGCTGGCTGGCTGGCTGTGTGAATGGCTGGCTGGCTGTGTGAATGGATGGCTGGCTGGCTGGCTGTGTGAATGGATGGCTGGCTGGCTGGCTGTGTGAATGGATGGCTGGCTGGCTGGCTGTGTGAATGGATGGCTGGCTGGCTGGCTGTGTGAATGGATGGCTGGCTGGCTGGCTGTGTGAATGGATGGCTGGCTGGCTGGCTGTGTGAATGGCTGGCTGGCTGGCTGTGTGAATGGCTGGCTGGCTGGCTGGCTGGCTGGCTGTGTGAATGGCTGGCTGGCTGTGTGGCTGGCTGGCTGTGTGGCTGGCTGGCTGGCTGGCTGGCTGTGTGAATGGCTGGCTGGCTGTCTGGCTGGCTGTGTGAATGGCTGGCTGGCTGGCTGGCTGAATGGCTGGCTGGCTGGCTGTGTGAATGGCTGGCTGAATGGCTGGCTGGCTGCCTGGCTGTGTGAATGGATGGCTGGCTGGCTGTGTGAATGGATGGCTGTGTGAATGGATGGCTGGCCGGCTGGCTGGCCGTGTGAATGGCTGGCTGGCTGATGTAATGCTGCCTTCCTATCCTTTGAGCCTATCTTACTGGCTGTTTGCCTGCCTGCAGTCTTATCGGTTTGTCTTAATCGGTCTGAATTTCTTTGTTGTTTGTATCTGGAGGAGAATTGGATAAAGAATGGTTTTTATGGAAAATATATAATTAGACAGTCTTGTGAAATCTGAAGCCATCCGCGAGGCCTGAGAATGTTGCTAATATGCATCAGGGTTTGCCTACCCCCGTCTGCGGCGTTTTCTCCTCTCTCCCAAACACCCCGCCTCTTTCCCTGTCCTTTCTACACACTTCCAGCTCACTGCACTTAATACTCCCCCCTCCCCCGCTTCTTTCATCCCCCCCCCTCCTCCCCCCTTCTTTCACCCCCCCATCTCCGCTTCTTTCATCCCCCCTCCTCCCCCCCTTCTTTCACTCCCCCATCTCCGCTTCTTTCACTCCCCCATCTCCGCTTCTTTCACCCCCCCATCTCTGCTTCTTTCACCCCCCCATCTCTGCTTCTTTCACCCCCCCATCTCCGCTTCTTTCACCCCCCCATCTCCGCTTCTTTCACCCCCCCATCTCCGCTTCTTTCACCCCCCCATCTCCGCTTCTTTCACCCCCCCATCTCCGCTTCTTTCACCCCCCCATCTCCGCTTCTTTCACCCCCCCCATCTCCGCTTCTTTCACCCCCCCCCCATCTCCGCTTCTTTCCCCCCCCATCTCCGCTTCTTTCACCCCCCCCCATCTCCGCTTCTTTCACCCCCCCCCATCTCCGCTTCTTTCACCCCCCCCCATCTCCGCTTCTTTCACCCCCCCCCCCATCTCCGCTTCTTTCACCCCCCCATCTCCGCTTCTTTCACCCCCCCATCTCCGCTTCTTTCACCCCCCCCATCTCCGCTTCTTTCACCCCCCCCATCTCCGCTTCTTTCACCCCCCATCTCCGCTTCTTTCACCCCCCCATCTCCGCTTCTTTCACCCCCCCCCCCCCATCTCCGCTTCTTTCACCCCCCCCATCTCCGCTTCTTTCACCCCCCCCCCATCTCCGCTTCTTTCCTCCCCCCCATCTCCGCTTCTTTCACCCCCCCCATCTCCGCTTCTTTCACCCCCCCCCCATCTCCGCTTCTTTCACCCCCCTCATCTCCGCTTCTTTCACCCCCTTCTCTTCTCCCCCCCCCCCCCGTATTCTGCACATCATGCCATGCCTTCTGGTCTCGTGTGGTGGTATTTCTGTGTACGAGTTGTGACGACTACTGTATTGTCTTCTTTTAAAGGTAAGGTCTTCAGACATGAGTACACCCAAATCTCTTGTACAGATTTCCGAACTACTTCGATGTTTGGAAGCTTTGCGTATACCGCCGATGCATTTCTGTAGATTGTCTTGCGAGGCATTTGGTAGACTTGTCTACTCCTTATCTTGTATTTATTTTCTTCTTTTCCAGCACTTCTACTGGTTCCTCGCCTCCCTCCATAGCCCCCCCCCCCCTTTTCATTTACCCTGTATTTATTTAGGTTAAAATTGACCGAACTGCCATCTTTTTGGAAATACCTGGAGTATACCAGGTATCGTCCTAGGTCCTCGACCAGGCCTCCACTCCTAGGAAGCAAAGCCCGTGACAGCTGACTAAATCCCAGGTACCTATTTACTGCTCGGTAACGGGGGCATCAGGGTGAAAGAAACTCTGCCCATCTGCTTCTTGAAGATATCCGCCTTTGTTCCGGCAATATTTGTAATGTTTGTTGAAGGACCTCTGTGGACCTCTGATGTCCAGACAGTGTTCTCTGATTATGCCCATGACACATCTACTTCTCACTGGTTCTATTCTGCATTTCCTTCCGTATCTTTCGCTCCGGTATGTCATTCTGCTGTTTAAATTTGGGACCTAGCCTTTCAGCATCTTCCATGTATAAATTGATACACCTCTCGTCTCCTTTCCAGTGAGCTTTGAGACAGTCCCTAAATAATTTAGGTGTTTTATCGTGTCTTTGGGTGCCATATATGTTCTCTGTATTCCCTCTTTATTTTAGCAATCTTCCCGTGCTCTCATACGATAGATCCTGAGCCTTCTCCATCCTGATTTCTCTCCTCTCACTGACTTTGCCTCTTAACAGTATTTTTGGAGTTTGGAATAGTGGCCGCCTATTTGTCAAAGTCTCTCTGGTAATCTTGAGAAATGCAATGAACCTGTGTACATGTCTATGTATTATTTCAGTAGTGATGATATTAAGAGTTTGCAGATAACGGCTTTATAGGGTGATGCAGTAAGGCCTTTGTTATAATAATCATAGGCTAGCTCACATCATGACTGGCAAGCTTAAAATGTAAAATGTTGTCAATGTAAATTGATTACGAAAGATTTTGTAATTCAAACAAGGGCTTGATGATAAGGTTCCTGTCAATGGTGGTTATTGCCCCTGCGTGATTGTATGTTTGTCGAGTAGGCCAATTGCCT